AAAATGAAAACTACCTGTGTAGAGCTGAGAAACAGGTTTGTGTTGTGCAGCTAATTTCCATATATAACTTCCACCAGTAAACAGTCCCTTTATGTACTGACACCTTAATGAAAGACTGTAATTCACCCTGAACCATCCCCTAAAAACTGTAGTTACAAAGCTAGTGCTGTATTTTGGTTAGAAATAGCAAGACAATTTCCACAATGATTTGCAAGTCCTAAGCACATCCTTATTTTAATACAGATCAGTTCCTAATTCTATGCGCTTTCGGTTTCACCACAGCAAGTACACTTCAGTGAACAATAACCTCAAGAATTTCACACTGCTGGTAGTAAAAATTGTTCTCTTGCTGACTGAATAAAGCTTTTCTCTTGCTCCAAAAATGACAAAGAAATCTTTGCTCCATCATAGTTTTACTGACAACCAGATTAGCCTGGTAAACATAAAATGCAGAATACATTTCTGGGCTTTGCTATCATTTAGAAATATGATTCCTCAATCTAAACAGAAAAACTGAATTCATTCAGCATTATTGGATTCAACCTGTCCTATCCTCCATTCAAACTATGCACATAGTAAATTACTACCAACACAAAGAAGGGAGTCATAAACTGGCCTCTGTTTTAAAAGGAAATTAGTATTTGTGAAAAATGTCCGGTGGACTGAAAAGTTTTTCCTAATAATCACTGCATATGAGCAGGAGCAGTGCATGCTTTCACACTATTGCTGTCAATGTCTCTCAAACCTTGCATGGAGAGACTATCTCAAGTGGGGAATGAATGGGGGGAGTTTCTCTGCTCATTCTTTGATTTTTTTTTTTTTGAGTATGCTAACAAGGTGGCAGTTGTGATATGGACATATGTAATAGGAATTGGACTATAATAATCAATCCATTTCAAATACTGCACTGAACAATCAACAGCTAGTAAGAACTGGTGGTAGCTACTGAGCTGGGCTGGTTTCAAAGCCTAGTAGGTAAACAGTTCTTTATTCCACTATCAGTTTCTTGTGCTGCTATATTTGTAGAAAGCAGAAATTCTTCACAATGCTTTTCTACTTTTCCCAACTTGTTTTGTACATGACAGTACAATTAAATATAGAAATTGGAAAGCATTGGGAATGCATTTTTTGTCTTTCATTTAAAAAATTAAATTAATTGCAAAACACTAGTGTAATGTTAAAATGGCACAGCTTAAAAAATAAGGTAAGAGATTCACCCTGAAGGCTTATACAATATAATTCACCTGGGCATGTCACATATCTTCTGCAATTTATGGTGCACATGTAACAAACTAATACATTAAGGGCCAGATTGTGAATCTATTGCTCTCATTGGTAACTCATAACGGATTTCACAATCGGGCCCTAAGTTACCCATTTAGAAGAAAAATAAGGCTTGAAAAATACTGCTTAAAAATATTATGTTCCTAGTTAATATTGCTGTAACAATTTTAACATTTCAATTTCCTGTCTTTTTAAACTGTGCAATCTGAATATGACATTAATGTAAATTCTTCTGATCTCCCCAATTAATTTTACAATTTTAAGTTTAGAACAAACAGGATTTAATATGGAATGCAGACCTGCTTAAACTTATGTTCTCAGAAGCAGAACAATGGATAGTCACCAGATTTATATAGAAAATATTTTGCTTTTTAACTGACACATATGTAGGTATGCAGCGATGGCACTATGATGCTCACGATCTTAGGTAAGGTGAGACACGTATTCTGTTAGTATCCAACAGTTACCATACACTAAATAAGACATAAATGATAAAAATGTCCATATTGAACTGATGTATTGAAATACTTGGCACTCACTAATGAAGTGATGAATTGTAGGTGAATCTATCAGCTGTCCTGCTTAAGTGGAGCTGGTTTTTTAGCCCAATTGGTAGGGCACATTGATTAGGAAGCCTGGAAATCTTCATTCCTACCTTAGTACCGACCTCTCCCTGGGAGTTCACTCATTAATATGGATGTCTACCTGCTTATTTACAGAGGTGTGTGCATGTTTATGTAAAATACAGTTGTCATGTGGCACATGCATGGTGTTCAGACACAGCATTATCAAATGAGTAGTGACAGCTACCAGTTTGTTGCATTCCTGAGCATTAATGATAGCACAGTGCAATTTGCATGTAAGACTTTTATTGAACCAAACACACACCCTCACAAGATGTCTTTGGTACTCACATTTGTCCCTAAGACAAAAATTAAATTTTTTACCATTAAAAGAAATAATCGACATAACTGGATACATAATATTAAAAAATGAGGTGGTAAAGGGGTAAGACCATGTACAGAGTCATTGTAAAGATGAAGAACAGTTTACCCAGCTAAGCACATCCTGAGGACAACTGACGGTGAATGGAATGATTTGAAATACTTTAGACATTTATTTACTAATATGTTGCTAGTGATCTTCATAGCGTTCTAGAAATGGATCTATATTGAATCAGTGACTGAGTCTTTACCTTTCTTCTCTAAAGGCCAAATCTTTTAAGGGTTAAGATTGGTTTAGGGGATGGGCCATTAAGGATCTATTTTTTTAATATTAACTTGAGGTAAATATCATAGGCTGGGCACCCTAATTAGGAAATTCATGCTTGTGTTCTTGTTTGGAGAATTTTGAATAGGAATTGTCATATTATAATTGTACTGCATTTACAACTTGGAATAACGGCAGAGAAACTGAAATAAATGGTAGTCTCAGTAAAATCAACAGCAAAACTTCCAATGAGACTAGTATTTAGCCCTAAGAGATGACCGAAAGCCTGCAATGTCCCATAAGATTTTTTTTTTTTTAGATGAAGCGACTAGTACTGTGCACATATTCCGAATGAGGCCTTTTGAGCACCTGCACAGCCTACTGCTTATTTTGAGGCCAGAACTTGGACAACTTTCCCCACTTCCTCCATTCAATCCTCAAAGAGGAGCCCAGTTTAAGTAGTTGGTCAGTTAAGGGTAGCAGGTTTCAGTGCTCCTCTTAGGAGCCTCAATTACCACAAAATCAATTCATTTATTTTTCATTTAAAAAAAAAGATGGTCTGGGTTTATAGAGATCCTGAACTCCCCACAGCTCCCATTGACTTCAGTGGGAGTGGGAGTTGCATATGCTCACTGCTTCTGAAACTACACCCACAAATTAATGCATCATTAAGTTTGAGAAAGTAAGCACTCAAAAGTCAAGAAAATCCAAAAGCTAATGTTTCTGCTTCAACATCAAATTGGTTTTAATGCACATGGTATATGTTTTATTATTAATTTATATACCATACGGTGAACTGGATGTGCAACATGGCCAAGTTAATGTCGCAGCAGGAAAACGGTTGTTTATCATTTCCTGACTTCTTTGAGTGCTTGATTCTTCAACTTCAGTAATGTACTAGTGCTGTTTTATGTGTTTAATAGATCATTGGCTTGAATGTATTCCACTCATCAAGTGCTGATATTATGATTGATTTCAGAGGGAGCAGTGAAGGACATTTTTTATTTGGCCCAGTATTGTAAAATTTCTGCTTTATGCATTTTTCATTGCGATTATATTATGAGGTAAAGGAAATTTGGTATTGGTGGGAATTTTGCTGCACAGACCACCTAATGCGAATGGGACTTGGTGCATTCTTAGGGCCAGCTTTTGTTTTTATCCCATGCCAACCTCAATGGGACTACTACCGTCCATAAAGTTATTTGTGTATAAGTGTTTGCAGGATTGATGATTTATTTTATAATTTCTTCCTTTGGATTACTTGTTAAGAATTTTGGGGTAGTTTGTTTAAGACACAATACAAAACAAAGCTGAACTAACAGCATTATAGGCTAAAATAAAATTCTTAACTTTAAAATAATCTTAAAACCATTACTTTTTCCACTATAGAACTAACCTATACATAGCGGTAATAAAACTGTTAGGTAAAAGTGTCTAAATATATTAAATAGAAACATCTGATGTGCATCTGTGATGGTATAAAGTGGAGATGACATGACTGTTGCTAAAATGACTGCACTACTTGTAAACAGAATGGACCAAATTCATCTCTGGCATAAGATCTCCCCTGGAAGCAAATGCCAGTTGCACCTGTTTATGGAAAGGCTATCTATAGCCCAACAAAAGACTCTGATTCAAATTCTGCTTTTACCTACATGCTTGCTGCTCCATCTGAAGTCAAAGGAATCTGTCCCTTAGAAAGTAGGAAGGCCCTAATTTTGAAAATACACAGGAATAACTTTGTGAATAGCTGCATTGAGTTCAATGGGACTACTGGCATGCATAACTGTTTGCAGGATTAGGTTCTTGTGTATGCCTTTTCTGTTGTTCTTTTCCTCTGAAGGCTCTTCCTGGTGTGAAGGCCTAGATCCTGAAAGCTGAACCATATGAGCAGACCCATGTATCTGCTTGCAGGATCTGGGCCTTCCTAATCTGTAAAGACCAAATACTGCAAGACATGTTTAACGTTGTGCGCTGTGAAGAGTTGCATTGACACCAGACTCTTTCAAATGGGAATATTTGCAGTGAGTAAAGGTAGGCATATACTTAAATCTTTGCGTGACTGGAGCCTATAGGATGAGTCTTTGGCTTAGGGAGCCAGCTTTCTGGTTGGGAGAGAGTAGAGCAGCCACCTCTGCTTTACTCTGGATTAATGAAGGCATTTCTAAAAAGTCCCCCTTTCTGTGGGGATGAAGGATTTTGCAATGTGCTTTAGTAATGAGATATTTTAAATATCTGACACAACATTTTATTTCCCTTTCCCTCTTCATTTGGTGTGTGTGTAAATGGGAACTCCACTCCTCTAAACCTGTAACAACCTGAGAACCCAGCATGAAGGCTTTGGGGCAATGAGGTGAAAAAAACCAACAATTTAGCTGTCTGCATGTTTTTCTTTCTAAACGCCTGATGGAGGAACAGTGCCCAGTGGTGGGTTTTGGGTTTTTTTCCCCCCTCGGTCTAGGGAAGCGTTAATTATAACGAAAGGAGAAGTTGAGGCGCCTCTCGGGGTGTTTAGAGGAAACGTGCAGGGCTGTGCTGGACGGGAACTGGACAGCCCCCATAGGGCACACAACGAGTCAGAGCTTTTGGAGCCGCACCGTGGGTCAGGCCGTGGAGCCGGGCCCCTGCCCTGTGCCTCCGAGCGCCGTCAGCGCGGGCTTGGGGCCGGGCCCCTAGGGCAGAGGCTACTGCAGCAGGCCCGGGGCCGCTGCGGGGACCGGGCAGCCTGCACCCCGCAGCGTGTCCGCGGAGCCGTTCAGTCCCGTCCCCCCGCGGCAGAGCCGCCCCCGGGCCCCGCGCAGGTGACACTCGGCCACCGCCGAGCTTCCTGCTTCCCAGAAGGTGCCGGCGCCGCGGCAACAGGAACTGAGGCTGGGAGGAGGCGGTGCCGCCGCTCCCCGCCGCGCTCACGGCCCGAGCCGGGGGAGCGGAGCAGCCATGGGCCACCGCCAGCAGCCGCTGTAACCTCCCCCGGGGCCGGCGCGTCCCTCCTTTCCCTACCGGCCGGGCGAGGTGTTTCCCCGCGGGGGCGCGGAGCGGCCGCCCGGGGCCCGAGATGTGACCATGGACAGCAGGATCAAGTGAGTGCCGGCGGCGGGGCAGGCAGGGGGAGCGGCGCGGGGGCTGCTCGGCGGAGCGGGGCGGCCGAGGCGGCTCTGGGGGCTGCGCTGGAGGGAGAGGGGAGGAGGGACTAGGCCTCAAAGCCTCCCCCAGCCTGGCGGGGTGTGGGGCAGGGGCCTGGCTCTGCGCTGGGCACGTACGGGGGCGGCTGAGCAGAGACCCTTGGCACGACAGGAGCGGGGCTGTCACGGCAGCCCACACGGCAAATCCGCCCCTTCCCCGCAGGTGTGACACTGGCAGCCTCAGAGTGAACAGCTGGTGGCTCCCCACCCAGTTCTCCATCCCCCGTGGAGACGCCCTGCCATGAATCCTGCAGCCCGCCCCACAAGGGGAGCTTGTCCACCCTCTCTGCCTTATCATCCTTTATTCCCAGGGAGAGACTGTAGAACCCACACTCTGTCTCTGTCAAAATGACCCCCCTCAATCATCAGAGACTGTTCTACCTGCACCTTAAAGTGAGCCCCACTGGCTAAATCCTTCATCACCAGAGGATGAGATAAAGGTACACAGAGATTTATAATAATCTTCATCCCAGTGAGGGAGTGCCCCACAAGTGGGAGAATTGACAGGCCATTGTTTCTGTCTCTGGGCTCATACACATCATAACTAGTCTTCACAGAAGACAGTGCCAGCCTAAGGTTTGGTACCTACTAAACATCTCAGAAGAATGGCCATGATGACTTGTTTGGGTGTTAGGTGGATTACAAAACCAATTCTGAACAAACTTTTACGCTTCTTCTTTTTGTCTATTTATTGTCTCTTTGGATCTATTGCCAATAAATGGTGATTTTTAAAAAATATTCCAGCTATTTTACTTGACTGTCATATTTGAGAAAATTACAGGCGAATGAATCCTGGTTTTGAGGAACAGCTACAAAAATAGTGTGTAAAACTAGTAACATCAAAACAGAGGTTGTTTATAAACATTTCTTCTAAGGAATCTAACAACATCTCTTTATTGGATTATTGAAGAAAATTACTGTTTTTCAAGACGTTAAGAGAATAATTCTACCTCGCGAGAATGTTAGTGTAACCCTGATGTGTTGACAAACTTTGATGAAGTAAATTTTCTGTGATGGTTTGAAGCTACTTGCCCATTGTAAGGAGTCCCATTGATTTCCTTAATTCAGTAATTGACGAGAGGTTAAATCTGTATTTTGTAAACTGACAGTAATCTATATTTATGATGAATAAGTGTGCTGCTATTTAATAGTTATAATAGAAATGAAAGCCAGCCTGACATATATCAGACTAGTTAGACATATTTCTTGACACTTCTAAGTCTAAGTAACACCTTCTGTGTGGGAGGTGAAGAGTAAACCTAGAACTTTTCTGTGGAAGCAGACTTTGTGGTGGTGTACTGAAGGAAGCAAACACGTTTTCACATGTAAATTCAAGAAGTTGAGCTCTGAAGTCCTAATCCTGTATTTGAGACACGGTTTTAATGGAAATGAACATGTTAAATCCAGCATTCTGATTTTCCACTCCTTCTTTAAGGAAGGGGGAAAATGAGCCAAAAGAGCAAACACATACCTAGTTTAAATTTCATTTAACCCTTTTATGGTAGAGGGATTCCACTCTTCTCACTACAGGCTGGGTTCTTACAGCTCAGTTTTGTCCTCATTTAAACGAGTGCAACTCTGATTAGATTCATTCTGATCTTGCTAGCTGAGGGGAGAAAAAATGGATCATTTTCTTTTCTGTTACACTCCAGTAAATTTCTAGTAGTCTGGATTTACACTAGTGTAACTGAGAGCAAAACTTAGACAAAAACAAAACTAAAAACCCCATAAGAGCAGAACTAGCTCATTCAGGATCCTCCTTTAAGATTTTCCAATTGAATAATTTGAAAAGTGATGCAGGGAAGGAATATGATGTGGGAAGATATGTGACTGTTACTCAGAAATGCGATATCTCAGTCTTAATATAAATGCATATCATCAATACTTGGTGACAAAATAAATGATAGAAAACTCATTAAGTAACTGGTGACCTGTGAAAGTTTCCTTCCAGTCCAAAATCCCTCTAAAACTTTTTTAAAAAAACTTGTATTGAACTATCAATATGTGATATATGCATCATTTTAGATTTATATGCATCATTTTAGAAACCTGGGGCCCACTCTTGAATTCCTTACTTGTGAAAAACTGCTGACTTCTGTAGGCATTTTACTCAAGAAAAGAGTTCAAACCTGGGCCCTTTATGTGGTTACTTAGATAAATAATTGTTATGGTGGAGGTTATAATATTTGCTTTTACTATAAATGGCAGATTGCTCATCAGAATGAGAATTTAAATAACTCAGAATGGTAAAAATAAATTAAGGGTTTCTTCTGAACGTAACATAATAAATCAAGAAATTACTGAAATGTATGAGTTTATTCTTGGTCAGAGAATGTTGTATAATAATGGTACTCACGTGTGGCTGTTTGGTTCAAATAATTATTTACATTTAGGCTAGGGTTGGGTAATGAGCTATCAGACAACATATGCAAATATAATTCATAATTACTGGATTAATATTTTCTCACTAGTTGAATTGTTGTGTACAGGATTCAATCCTTAAACGTGCCAATGGCAGTAACTTCTGAAGGAGATGGTACGGTGACTGTCAAGTTTCAGTTGGTGACCAAATATATTAAAAAAGATAAATGTGTTAATGGCTCAGTTTGCAGGAATTAAGATGGAAGCCTAATCCTGGTTCACTTTCTTCATAATTTAAAAACAGAAGTGGTTCAAACTGGCGAAGTAAAAAAGGCTATCAGAGAGGCCCAAACTGATAGATAATAGAGAAACTAGCAGCATTTTTTCCGTCTGTAAAGTTCAGTTTTGTAAAGCAAACTGTCAGCAAGTTTAAAATTGTATTTACTTCAACATGACTTTCTAAAATGGGGTAATGACACAATGAAATAACTGAAGAGCTCTCAAACATATAAAACTACGATTTATCAGTGTAATCACAGAATTTTGATTGTTTTAACTATCATCTAATTCTTGTTTCTGTTGCCTATTCTTTTTTGAAAAGTGTGTGAATATATTAAAGGATGTGAAGAAAAATATGACTTCTGAAATCTTACAAAACATCCAAATAATTGAGATTCTTTCTCTCATTTTCTAGTGTCAAATGGAGTGGATAGGATATAACATTATGGACACTGTAGAGAAGGCTTGATAATCTAGATCAGTGTTTTTCGGTTTGTGACATATGTATGACTAATCAATTGACTTGTTTTTTATTTCCAGGGAAAATCCAGAAAGTACATTTGATTTGGTACTCAAGGTAAAATGCCAGGCTTCTGAAAATGAAGGTAATGTACTCCAACTGTTGGCATTTATTTATAGAAACTAGGGACACAAATGATCTTATTCAATTATTTAGTCCACGTACCCTCTATTTTGTCACCTCATGCTTTGAAGTGTTGATAATGTGAAATTCTGTTAGTGCTCACTGCTATTATTCCAATTAATTTTTTCAGTTATTAATATTCTGATGATAGAAGGGGCAAGCATTTTCAGCAGTTTATTGTTGATATTGTGGTTTGTGTTACATACTTATACCATTTTAATTCCTATAATCTTTCATTCCATAAAATGTAGATTTAATAAGTCATGTCATTTTAGTGGTATGTCTCAGAACTGGGCCTTGAGTACTTTGATTTCTCCTTTTGTCTCTTTGGAGCTTTTCTCTTAACAATCACTGTTGAAAGAAAGAAAGAAAGAAAAGAAAAAAAAACTAAGTAGCAGAAAATAACTTTTACTGTAGCAATTTTGGAATGGTGCAAATGTTATTGTGAGCTGACTTGAATTGGTATTAGCAATTAGTTTCACACTCCTACAAGCACTCTGGTGAAAGAGATATGGTGCTGCAGGAGTACTAACAAGATCACAATCCTAATCAGTTATCTGAGCAAGTCTTTTGGTTGCAACTTGCATGTAGGAAAACATGTAACTTCTCAGGTTGAAGTTAAAGTGCTGACTAGAATTGTGTGGAATTTCTAATGAGGGACTCAACAAGAATGATGGCATATGACTAGTTTTACATCTTTTAGGACATCAGTATGCCCCCTTGACTTTATTTCCTATTGATTTTTCTTGCTTCCCATATTTTTCCTTGTTCACTTATTCTCCATCACATCCTCTTCTTTCAAGCACACTGCTGTATTCCCTATTCTAATAATTTTCCTTAACCCTTCCAGCCTCTCTAACTGCCAGTGTATATTCTTCCTCCCATTCATACCCAGGCTTCTTGAATTTATTGTCTTGCCAATGCCACAGCTCCTCTACTCTGACTTCCTCTTGGATCCTCTCTGCATGGTAGTTCCCATCCATTTCACTCTCATGCAATTACCTTCATCGAGGCAGGATATTATATTCCGTTCCTGGTCAAGTTCTTGGGTGACTTCTTTATTTTTATCTTCCTTGACCGATCAGTTTCCTTCACACAGTTGGCTACGCTCGCTCCTTGACTTGCTCTCAGTGCTTTTGTGGTTCTCTGTGGGTTTGGCTTTTCTTGCTCTCTTAATTGCTCCTCTTAGCAATTCCCATAGTGGCAACTTTCTGGTCATCTCCCATTCTCTTCCTCTTTCGCTATACTCTCTCCCTTGGTAACTCTCTGTCCATTCTCATATCCTGAATGATAATGAGACCCAGATCTCTCTCTCCACACCTGATCTGTCTCCCATGATCTGTCTTTGCTTTGTGACTGTCTATCTGACATCTTTTTTTGGACGTCCAGCCATATTTCAGCTCATCTTCCCCTTCATCCAGGCTTGCAACTTTCATGTCATATTCAGTTTCTTTCTCCCCAACATATAGTCTGCCAATTAATCCGTCTGGTGCTTCCTCTCTGATATCTTTAAAATCTGTCCCTTCTCTATTCCTACTGCCAGAAGCTTGATCCATGCTCTTGTCATCTCTTGCTTTGATTACTACAGCGTCTTCATTTCTGACCATGATTCTTATGTCGTATCCTTTAAGTTTACCCAGTGTGCTGTTACCAGAAATGTTTGCCTCACCTACAGCTCTGTGATATCTGCATGGTCAAATCATACATTGGTGTTCAGTCCCCTTTTGCATCAAATTCAAACTCCTTATACTCACCTTCAGGACTGCAAGGCTTGGCTTCTGCTTACATCTCAACACTAGTTTCTTGGCACTTCCCCAGCTCTCACTGTGTGTGCTATTTCAGTTCATCTTAATGCTCCTTTGGTTGTCTTCTGCTACAAGAGACTGTGTGCCTTTTCTCATGAGCCTCTTCTATATGGAGTATGCTCATGGCCCTGTGTGCCAGGCTGTTTTGCTCTTCTCATCTTCTCAAAACACTCCTCAAAACATATTTTGGTTACTCTTCTATTCCTGTCCTCACTCCCAAATCTTCACACATTAATAAGTTTTTTTTAAAAGGAAGCAACTAGATGGGTTCTTACCAAGTATATATTTTGATTTCTATTCCATATAGGTTCATATATCACCCTCATCACCATAGAATATGAACATTTGACAAGTGGTGCATTAAGCAACATGACTAACATCTGTGTGGTTCAGTCTCCCTCTCCCCAGAAGGAGAATTGTGTGTCCAGTGTAGTGGGGCTTTTTGGTAGGGTTTGGTAGATGTGATTATCCATTGTTCCTGACAGAGTTCATTTCACATTCTCGGAGCAGTCCCTAAGAAAGCTTGATCCCTTGCACAGATGAGCTTTACCTGTATGGTCCCAAGTTTTGTTGTACCTGTTGTGGCGGTCTTTTAGATATGCTTGGCCCAGGCCTTAATGCCGGGAAGCAAAAGACAGAGACTTTGAATTTGACTCACTATTTTATGAGGAAACTTTCGTAAAGAGCAGAGGACAGGTTTGTTGTTTTCACAGTAGCCTGTGTGGTGAGGTGGTGATGTGCTACAGTGTTCTGTACAAGCTGGGATTTCCTATGTGCTGAAGACTTCATGCCCAGCTATATTGTATTGTGATTGTCCAGATAGGAGATGAAAAAGATATGAATAAATGAGGTCAGGGCACCATCCACTATGATGGGATGGAGTCTTCTAGACAGCTAGAGATGTTGGAAAGCATCACTTGTGGATGATGCTATGTGAGCTCTTAGCATCAATGAGCAATCCAGGAACCACCACAAAACTCCCAGCTGAACTGATGAATGATGTGGTGTGCGCCTTCCACCAAAGGAGACTGCACTTTGGGTGCAGACTCTTCAGAGTGCTTTCTTCTGCCCATCTCTGTCTTGCATGGGTTGAACTTCAGCCAGCTGTTTTTAATCCATGAGCGGAGTCCAGTGCTTGGATGAGATGTTTGATGTTGAGTGGTATGGTCCTGTATGGTGATGTATAGGTAGAGCTGTGTCATCTATGTATTGCTGGCACGTAAGTCTCTAGTTTCGTACCAGTTCGCCCAGTGGCTGCATGTTGATCTTGAATAGGACTGGAGAGAGAAATGAGCCTTCTGAAATATCACAAGTGAAAGGTCTAGTGGCTGAGGTGCAGTTCCCATCACCATTCTTAGGGTGTCACCTGTATATTATAATTTTCATCTTTCCATACTCTGGGCATCACATTAGATCACAAACGCCTCGGGGCAGGGACCTGTCATCGTGTTTGCCTGTAGCATAGTGAGTACAATAGTAGTGTGTCAAATAAATACATCTGAGTATTAAGACTGGATTTATTTAAGGAATTATTGTACATGTAAAAAGAGATGAATGTGTAATTTCTCTAACACAGCTTTAAAAACTGAGCACAGGTTTGTTTTACTAAACAGGGAGCTTTCCAGGTCGGTTTATTATAAGGCTAATAAATTTGACAGTTACACTGTATTGGAAGACTTGCCTTTAAACAGATTTTCATGCTATGATAATGTTTTGAATATATAATATATCAAAACAAGGTCCATTCACCTGTTTCTTTGCTCTTGCCCCTTTCTTTCCCATGAAAGAGAATTGTGTTTAAATAGGGACTTTCTCGCATCCCATCTGCTTCTTGTACTTGATCCTGCAGTGAAGTCATGGTTGAATCTGTGGCATCACTGTCATCACTGTTACTGTGGAAGTATCACAAGCACAGAATTATGATCTCCCTGCATGAGTGAGCAGCAGGAGAAGTTGAGTGAGGAGGGAGAAAGACCTTAATTTGACCCATATATCTTTTTAAGATTTTCATTTCAAGTTTGTCCTAGAGTGAGCTCCTCTTTTAGATTTTTCTGCAATTTGTTTAACCACCCTTTGTTGGCTGTGCTACAGTTCAAACAAACAAGTAAAAACTAGTATATCCCTGCTGTGTCTGACTATAAATAAGCTAGTATTTTTAAATAGGATGCTGCACACCTGTACCAGTTTGTTTGTGATGTGACACACAGAAATTAGCACTTTCCAAAGATGAGTTTTGACAGCTGAACATTTTTAAATAACCCCTAAAATATAACATCTTTTTTTGGAAACAGGCCTGACAACCTTGAAAGTGTTTTTTTTCAGATATAGCTGAGCAAATACACAAACAGTGTCATAGGATTTAAATAAACTGTGAGATTGGCTTTGAGGAGTAGTTGAATGATTAAAATTTATTGCTTCTATAGCCAAGAGTAAAATCCAATAAATAAATAAAATCCAAATGCATGCTATTTTAATTAATTGAAAACTTAATTCAATTAATACAATAGAAACTCAGAGTTATGAACTAACCAGTCAACCACACACCTCATTTGGAACCGGAAGTATGCAATTAGGCAGCAACAGAGACAAAAAAAAAAGCAAATACAGTACAGTGTTAAACATAAATACTAAAAAATAAAGCAGCATTTTTCTTCTGCATAGTAAAGTTTGAGAGCTGTATTAAGTCAATGTCAGTTGTAAACTTTTGAAAGAACAACCACAGCATTTTGTTAAGAGTTACTAACAACCTCCATTCTCGAGGTGTTCGAAACTGAGGGTCTACTGTACAATTGAGAAACTCAAAATAGCAGTATTTGATTGACTATGGACCTTTGTTTCAACCTTCATCATTTCACTTCAGGAAATACTTCTAGTATTTATTTTGTTAGGGGGACAATGTATTTTCTGATGATGTAAGAATACAGACACAGAAAAAAGGCCTTAGCTAAGTTGGAGTATGTTGCATGTTACACTTTCAGCAGGGCTAACACTCTTGCTTTTGCCCAATAACTCAGAAAAGTGATAAAGGACTTTACAGTATATAATTGCATTTGAAACTAAATGTTAAATTTATCAGATTGAGATAAATTCTAGTAGATCATCCACAGGTAAGAAGCTCTGTTAAATCTAGGTCTACCTAGCCAATGGGAAAAGTTTG